GAGAAAAACAGTTCTCTTTGTAATACTCTTCCAGGTATCTGGATAAGCAGCATCACTTTAAGTGTAAAATCTTATTCTTTCCTTAATATGTGTAACCTCAATTAACCTTATCAGAGCATGTGTGTAAACTGAGATTATACCCTTTAATGAGCAGCTATAGCTGTATTGTAAATGCAACGTTACATGTTCTTTGTTATGGTTCAAGACCACTACACTCTTCAAGACTTATAAACTTCAGCAAACAGAGATTATAGTGGAAATACTTTTAAAAAATTAACCATAAGAACACTGGCAGAAGGAAAGATAGCTATAAATTCAGCTTTAGTTTTCCAGCATGTATGTTGACAAGCCATGAATAATATACATTTCTACACTTCCAACATACAGATGTACATGCTGCTCAGTGTAACCTTTGCAGTAAAGTCTCTTTAACAACTGCTCCAAATGGAGGAAGAAAATGGCTGATTGAAAAGAGCAGCCCTTTGTCTTGTCTCTTACAGAGTTACTGCAATTGCACCCATAGAATAAAAAGCAGGTTTTAAATTTATTAGTCTATGCACTTCTCCTGGATTTTGAACACACTTGTTTGCAGGGATGTGGAGTTGTATTTCTATAGTGAACAGAAAACAGAAGATCCCACTTATCCTCCCTTTTATACTAGGATTTGATTACTTGGATAAAAGTCCTCACTTAAAAATTAAAGGTACTAAAAAAACTCATCAACTATTGCAATTATATTGATCCTGCTGGATGTTAGATCTGGTCTCTAGCTACTAAACACCACTAACTAGGCTTTGGTTAGTAAATAACACAGCTTTGTTAACCAATTACTGAGGTTGCCAAAGTGTGTTAATGACAAATAGGCTCCAATTCATTTGGCAAATAAAAGACAAGCAGGCTACTATATATATTATTGATTGAACTGTGTCAGCTGAGTATTTCCCTAAACACAAGCAACTACTTTTGCAGGCCTATATCAGAACATTATCCCCATCGTATTGTTTGACTTTTCCCTTGCATTGTCAAAAAACAACTTTTTCAAAACAAGTATTTTGAGATGTTTCATGGATCTGATAACAGAAAACTTAATGGTAAAGATTTACTTCAAATAAGGCAGGGACTTGCAGAAAATCTGTTATTTTTTGTTAATATAGCTAAATGCAATTTGTCCTGTTTTCCACTTCTAATAACCACAATCTGTGCCATATGAGCAACAAGTAATTTTTCTACAATAGACAAAATTTAACAGTGAGATACTGCTCTCCTTATTCAAGTAAGATTCCCAGTGGCTTCAAGAGTTTTATCTGAGAGAGGACTAGTTCCAACTTTGAATGACATGTAACAATTAGTACTCAATTGTGAAAACTTGTTCACATCTGTGTTCCTTGAAGAGAGATTTTTAAATAAACATAACATACACAAGCCTCATCAGCATTAACAGGTTTTCCCATATACAATAATACAATGTACAATAATAAGGGCAAAGGGACCCAGAAGATTAAAGCAGCAAGCTGACTCTAGCTATTTCTCTTTTCTTCTGTTGCTTAGCCTGACCAGACCAGAGCTTCAGAAACAGTCTTCTTCACGCTGTCTGTGGTCATGTGGATTGAATTGGCATATAGGGTGTTGACAATGCAAAACAAGCAGACTTCATGACTTTGCAGACAAACATCTTTTATTATTAGCGTCTTGGCAATGCCTCTGCAATACAAGAGAGGTACTTTAGACTTAATTTTATCTACTTCCCACACAAAACTTTCTGCTACCATGCTGCTGGATAGTGAAATGTATTAAGATCTCAAAACCCTGAGATCTGTGATGTGTAGAAAACACTTTGAACCTGAAAAGCACCATGCAGGGTCTAAGCATCCTTATGGCTGCTTTCTAGGTCACCAATTACTTGTAAATTGAATTAAATGCATCCCATACAGTTTCCTATTGACACTTCTGCTATTTGCTATAATGCCCCTCATTTTATGCCTTTATCAGATTTTGGTTGGTGAGGTGAGTGTCTGGGATCACTTTGTGTGTGTGTTTTGGGTTAGTTCCCAGCATAAAAGAGGCAAGGGTACTGCAGCTTTGTCTCTAGGTCAATGTTGAGGCAAATTTGTGGGGTGCTGGGAGAAGGGCCCAGATACCTCATCTACCAGGGCTCTTCTATCTGTTTTACAAATAAGGCATTCCATCCAGGAAGAGCGCACACCAACTGCAAAGGCTTCCTCAGTCAGACGAAGGGTTTTTAAACCTGAAAGCTTGCTAAGAATTTTTTTTTCCAACTATTTAAGTTGGTCTAATAAACAATATCAGATTCACCCAAAGCACCTTGTCTGCCTATGTCCTTAGACCAACATGGTTACATCCTACACCCCTGTTACAAATAAGGCGGCATCCGCTGGGCAGGAAGGTAGTTAGCTCACTGTCAAAATCCATTCTCTATTTGGCACCTCTGCCCAGACTTACAGCAAGGCTTCTTTATCAACCCACTGAAAAGGGCAACACTTTCCTCGTGGCAGAACTAAGTACCATCTATTCAGGGTTGGGTTTTTTTTCAGGCAAGACCTTTTCTATTAACCAGGTCCTGCCTTCTCCCCAAGGACATTAACAATCGCAAATCACTCTTCGTGAGAGTTAGATGTGCCCCAGCAACACTAGCCAACATAACACCACTATTCCCCAAAGCGTCACATGCCCTCCAACTGCTGTCTTTCACCTCAGTGATGGCCACACATTAGCCATAAGGAGCATATGCAGTGCATAAAGCAATTTGCAGTGTTCATTATAAAAATTGTTAATTCTTATTAAAGCTTGGGAAAAAACTCCTAGTTAGGGGACTACAGCCAACATTTCCAGGAGCATTCACTAATACATTATGCCTTAACTCTCAGTTACCCAAAGCTCCCTCCCCTTTCCAATGACTGCTGCAACTCAGTTTTCTAAGCAGCACCAAAACATGTTTTGGACATTTGGGTGGGGGAGAAGGGGGTGCTGCTTCCTGTAGCATTTGGAATAGCAGCCGGAGCATTGAGCAGTGCTGAGGATGTCACTTAGCTCCCATTCAAATCAGCCTAGGAAAAGGCAGTAGAAACACTGGAGCAATTAAGTACACTCAGACAACTGATGCTGCAGCAGTTCATGCAGGATTCACATTAGGATAACTAGCTCCACAACCAAAGCAGGGGGAGGATACCTTAAGCTCACGAAAAATTGATGTCAGTTCTCAGTTCACCCTGGTAAACCCAATAGCCACAATGAAGAAGCATCCCCCAGCCCCACTCCTAGGTATAGCTCTTAATCTCTACCCAGGAGGTTCCAACTACAAGGAGACACCCCCTCCAGCAGGCCCCACGTGCTAAGACTGCAAGCAACCACACTGGAAAAGATCTGCCCAGGACAAGGTCGCTGAAATAAAAGACCACAGTATCTTGGCCAGAGGCACAAAGGCAGGCTTGGGCTGAGAGGGCCAGCTCCTGCAGCCACAACTCCTTACCTTTAAATTTCTACTCTGCTTCTCTCAGCAGTTCCTGGTTGGCTTGGGATCAAGCAGCTGCATCATTCATCATCAGGCATGCGAAGGGAGTGGTGGAGCATGTAGTTTTTGCAGCTTCCCTCCACCAGGACAGGTGCTTGGGAGCCTGCCCTCATCTCAGAGCCAGGGGAGGGAGGGAGGCAACAGGACTACAATTCCCACAAGCCCCGGCAGAGCCTCCTCCCTCGCTAGTGGGTTGTGGGGGGAATAGTTCACGTGCTGCAGGCGCTACTGATCAAGCCCAGCAGAAGCACTGGAGGCTGGGAACTACTTGTCCCACGATTCTCAGCGTGCCCTAGGGGTTTGCTCAGTGGGAGAAACACATTGCAATGTATGCTGTAGGAAGCAGCTTTCCTGCCTCTCAAGCTGTGCGGCAGCACCAAAAAAATCCTCCATCGAGACTGCCAGATAATCCTCTCTTCATGGGGTGGAAATGGATAATTAATATATTTCTAAGGGGTTTGGAGGGTCGGAATTAGCCCCCAAAAAATGTAAACAGGTATTGCAAATATAACCGTAAAACCCAAGCAGCTAGAATTCACTGTTCCCATGCACTGATTAACTACCACCTCTTCCAGTACAGTCATAACTCCCCTTACCTACAAAGATGCCCATGCTTAACTTGATAAGGCTCTTTGGGTAAATTTGTTATCTTTTATTAGACCAACTCAAATAGTTGGAAACATCTTTTTTGCAAGCTTGCAGGTATAAATACCCTTCCTTGTCTGCCTATGTCCTAGATAGGGTGGCCATCATAGAGGACAGTCTGGTTGTCCTCTGTCCTCTATTGATACAAAACATGATGCCTTTTTGTCTTCTATTTTTCTTTTCAAGTTTATACAAGGGAGCTATTTTTTCTCTTCAAGAGAAAAATAAAGGACATAAAGGCGTCGGGTTTCGTATCAATAGAGGACAGAGGACAACCAGACTGTCCTCTATGATGGCCACCCTATCTAGGACATAGGCAGACAAGGAAGGGTATGTATAGCCTCAAGCTTGCAAAAAAATAATTTTTCCAACTATTTGAGTAGCAAAAAACTGGAATGTCCTCTATGATGGCCACCCTAGTCCTAGACCGTCACAGCTACAACCTATACCCCTGTAACACACTTAACTTGGCATTCTTGTTGATTTATGAAACAGAAGTAAAAGCTCCAAGTTTTATTTGTTTCCTGATGAAATTAATGGAAATACTCGTAGCAAAACAAGGGTAACATTGGACCCCTGCTAAACCAAATAGGACAACTGATAACCAACACCCAGGAAAAAACTAACCTGTTTAATGGGTACTTTGTATCATTTTTTCATCAACCCAAAGGGTCTGCCCTATCTAGCAAAATGTGGGACGGCCAGGGTGAGGGTGAATTTATACCCAGCATCAGTGTAGACGTTGTAAAGGAACACCTTGAGAGGCTGGACACAGTCAAGTCAGCAGGTCCTGACAGATTGCACCCTAGAGTACATCAGGAGCTGGCAGGAGTCATAGCCCAGGCACTGACAAAGATTTTTGAAAACTCGTGGTGCTCAGGTGAAGTACCTGAAGATTGGAAGAAGGCCAATGTGGTACCCATCTTTAAGAAAGGGAGGAAAGTAGATCCAGGGAACTACAGGCCAATCAGCTTGTCCTCAATCCCTGGTAAGATTCTAGAAAAAATCATCAAAGAGTCCATTCTTGACAAGCTGGCTGATGGCAACATCCTGTGGGATAGCCAGCACAGGTTTGCTGCAAGTAGGTCTTGCCTGACCAATCTCATCTCCTCCTATGACCAGGTGACATATCACCTGGAGAAGGGGGAAGAGATTGACGTCATATATCTGGACTTCAAAAAAGCCTTTAATCTGGTGTCCTATGATCTCCTCTTGGAAAACTTGGCCAACCATGGCCTCGGCTACACCACAGTCCGATGGCTAGAGAATTGGCTCTGAGGCCGGACTCAGAGGGTGGTAACTGACAGAAGCAAATCATCATGGCGCTTCATGGCTAGTGGTGTTCCCCAAGACTCTGTCCTTGGACCTCTTCTCTTTAATGTCTTTATCAACAACCTGGATATAGGTCAAAAGTGGACTGGCCAAGTTTGCCAATGACACCAAACTTTGGGGTAAAGCATCCGCACCAGAGGATAGGCTGGTGATCCAGGTTGACTTGGATAGGCTGAAAAAGTGGGCAGATACAAACCTCATGACTTTCAGTATCAACAAATGTAAGGTACTCTACCTTGGGGAAAAAAACCCTGCAGCACACTTATAGGCTTGACAGCGCTACGCTCGCTAGCACCAAAGCCAAAAGAGACTTGAGGGTCATGACTGACTGCATGATGAACATGAGCCACCAATGCGATGTCACAGCTGGTAAAGCAAACCAAACTGTGGCTCACATCCATAGATGCTTCTCAAGTAAGTCTCGGGATGTCATCCTCCTGCTGTACTCGGCCTTGGTGAGGCCTCAGCTGGAGTACTGCATCCAATTCTGGGCTCCACAATTCAGGAAGGATGTGGAGAAACTTGAAAGAGTCCAGAAGAGAGCCACGCACATGATCAGAGGACAGGAGAATAGGCCTTATGAAGAGAGGCTGAGCCATAGAACTCTTCAGCCTGGAAAAGTGCAGGGTCAGCGGTGGCCTCGTGGCAGCCTATAAGTATATCAGGGGTACGCATCAGGATCTGGGAGAACATCTGTCCACCAGAGCACCCCAAGGGATGACAAGGTCCAATGGTCACAAACTCCTTCAAGACTGTTTTAGGCTGAACATAAGGAAAAACTTCTTTATGGTCCAAGCCCCCAAAGCCTAGAATAGGCTTCCTCCAGAGGTGGTGCAAGCACCTACTCTGGATTCCTTTAAGAAGCATTTGGACACTTATCTTGCTGGGATCCTTTGACCCTAGCTGACTTCCTGCCCTTGGGGCAGGGGGCTGGACTCGATGATGTCCTGAGGTCCCTTCCAGCCCTAATGTCTATGAAATCTGTGAAATTTATGTATGTTTTCCAGTTTGAGAGCAGGCAAGGTTCTTTGAGTAGATGTGATATCTTTGAGTAGAAAGATATCACATCAGCTCAAAGAACCTTGCCTGCCTATGTCCGTGGACCAACATGGCTACAACCAAAACCCACTTTTAGTTTGAGATGCATGCAGTACTGCCAGCCCCTCAGTGCTCAAAAGTCATGAGGGAAGCTCCTGGAGATCACAAGATTGGCTTCAACATGATGTAAAAGTAATTAAGCACTTAATCTACAAGGGGAGATAGCCAGAATTGCTTTTTCCCATTTAACTGCCCATGCAGAGGCATTTATTCTGAAATGAGTGCCTCACTCCAAATACGTTTGATCCTTTTGTTTTCATTTAACCCCTTACCTTCATTTGAATTAGCTCCCCTGTATAAACTAGCTTAAATTTGTATTTGCCTTCTTTCTCATGAGACTAAAGATGGCATATTCAAGTATTTTTGCACGACACCAGGTCTAGAAACTTCCTTTTTTTGGAAAAAAAAAGAAAGCTGAAATGCGTGCATAATCGCATGACTCCAGAATCTGGGACACCAACAAGCATCACAAGACTCCCTATTAAAATTGTGAGTTGGCAACATTGCAGGGAAGTGTTTGTGCCAAGTATTTTTAAAACATACAGAGGAAGATTGTGCAGGGAAAATTGTGCAGGGAAGCTCCATAAACTTCAGGGATTGCTTCTTAACAGCATAAAGAACCCTGGGCTGAACTCTTAATGTAATAGTTAATAATTGTAGGTAGCTAACTTGAATGATGCCTACTATAAATATAGACTATAGATTATAGACGTTCTTAGTATTTCTTAGCATTAAGGTTCTACATCAAATGATGTAATAAGTAAAAGTCTATTTAAACATTTTATAGAATGTCACTAATTAAAAAAAATTACTTCAGTAAGTGCAAAACAGATCTCTAAAGTATAGTTTACACTGAAAATACCTTTTTGCAGAGAAAAGAGATCTCTATCTAGCTGGAATGAGGAGTCTGTCAAGATTTTGGTGAAATCAGAGTTTACTAAGGCTTGTTTTTTCCTTTTGAAATGTAAGAATGCATTTTACTTTTTTGCTGTGACCTGTGTAACATTCAATTTTCTAGGGCAATGTCTTGATAAAAGAGTCTAGCATAAGAAAGTTTTTGTGAACATGAGGGGATTATCAATTTCCTTACATAATCACATTAGGCCCTGCAAAGACCTATTTCTGTGCACTCTGGGGCACTGATGCTTATTCTTCACTTCAGCCTCCTGTTCCCCAATATAGAGCAATCTTAGGTATCTCCCCAGTCATGGACAAGCCTGAAAAAAGAAGCCCTCAGGGAAATCTTTGCACAAATACCCTAGCAGACCTCCTCCTTTATGGTTCCACATAAGAACAGGAATCCATGTGGGGCTAGAGCATGAACGCCGCGTGCCCCTAGAGGCTGAGGGGGCACGATGAGCTCCCACAGGCGGTAGCAATGCTGTCAGCGGCAGGAGTGTGGTGGCGGCAAGTGGGGAGCTCCAGCAGGCGGCCGTAGCACTGTTGGCGGCAGGGGAGGAAGGGTGGCGAGCACTGACCAGCGGTTGGCGACCACCCACAGACACCACTGGCAGTGTTGGCAGCAGCCAGCAGTAATCACGGACCGCCCGCAGACACCGCCAGTGGTGTCAGTGGCAAGGGGGAGGGGATGGTAAGCAGTGACTGCCTGCAGGCACCGCCAGCAGTGTCAGCGGCATCTTTTCGCGGGGGGTGCACCACCATGCTCAGTGTACCCGCATGCAGCCCCTATCCATTGCCAATGGGCTAGAGATATCAATAAGTAAGTTCTGTTACTGTACACTGGCTCTGACACTTGTTGTCCTCCTCAGCTCCCAAACAAAGTAGCAGACTTCAGGGCACCTTGATTTATACCCTCACCTCTCAGTTTACATCATCTCTTCTTGGCCAGAGCAGGATCAATGGAGTACCATCTCTGAGCATTGAAAATGGTGCCGAGAAGGGAACTGACCCCCATCTTCCTCACAGAATGAGAAATCCACATACAGAAGATCCCCTATCCTCTAATAAAGCTTCCAGGGGGTACTCTTTCCTTAGCTGAATGAGTTGAAGTCCCTTAACAGGGCTGTTTGCCTCTTCTTAAGGGGACAAGCTACCTGATTACAGGGTACTTTCTTAACACAGATGCACAATGTACTATGGCCATGTCTAGACTACCAAATTAC